TCCAGCGCCATTAGTCACGGATTTAGATTTTCTTTTAAGCTATTGATAGCAAGTGAAATGGCAATTAGAGATTTAGTTAACCATTGTTCTCTCACTGAGCAAATTTTTCAATGTTTTAAAAACAGTCATGTAATAGAACTATAACATATTAAGCCAACTTGGATGGGAGAGGAGAATACTAAAACATTTGCACTGACATCATTGCTTACCTAGTAGAGACTCTGCTATTATTCTAGGAAAAATAACTCCTTGAGGAAAGGTTTCTGTTCTCAGAAAACATTCCACAAACCTTTATAATTATGGAGAAAATGCAAGACCCAAAAGACTTTTTCCTATAAAATCATCTTAAATATATATGAATTTATATAAGAGAATAAATAAAAGTACAAATATACATAAATGGAGAAGAATTTTTTTTTCACTATTACATGAACCCATCTCCACCTTCTCTTTGAGTTAATCATCATCAAATTGCACTAAATCAGAGATGGCAGGGACTGTGGCTGGCTAGATACCACGGTCTGTCATTGTTTGATTATACTGGAAATGTCTTTGGAATGAACTTAATCTGAAGGACCTTTAACCAGCAATTCTCTTAGACTCCTAAACAGCACCAATTTGGGTTTTTTGTTTGGGGTCTTGTTTCTGTTTTATTTTGGTGGAGTGGAAATGAAGGGAGAACTTGCATATATCTGATATAAATTTTTCTCTTAATTAGAAATGACAGTATCAAAATTCTTTAGTTCCTTCCCACCACCACCCCTTCTCTCTCTCTCTCTCTCACACATACACACACACACACACACACACACACACACACACACACCTTCCTCCCCTCACAGATCTGTTGCTGTTTGGAAGTCTAAGAAAATTCAGAGAAAGTTTGGGGGTGTGGAGAAGGAAGTATTTCATTTTTATTTCATAAGTTTCTGCATGTTTGAGTCTTTAACCATGTTCATGTGATAGTTTTAGTTAAAATAACTTCTTTAAACCCTGAACAAGATGGGATGGCAAAAAGACATACACACAGCTGTGTAATAAAGAGGGCAGAAGGGAAGTACAGCAAACTATTCCAAGATGGTAGTGCCATTTGTATTATTCTTTGGCTGAAAGAGTAAAGCTTTTTTCTGAGGGTTTAGGTTGTTTTCTGAGTGTTTAGGTTGTTTTCCCTGGCAAAGGGGTGAGGTGAGGGCTAAGGAAGGCAGATTTGCATCTGTATCTGATTGGCAGCTTCTGTGAGAAATTATCCACTCCAATAAGTTTTGTTATTTTGGCAATTTCTTTCTCAAGAGTTGATGGTGCCCTTTATTTTCAGGCGGGGGGTGGGGTGGAGCCTGGGATGTTGTTTCTAGCGACTGGGAGGAGAAGGGAATAGGGGGCAGCTGTCTCACTGAGACACTGAAAAGGCTCTGGGAGAATGGAATGTTGTTGTTTCTCTGTTTTTGAAGCCACTCTTCTTTTTGATCATGTTTAGCCTTTAAAATTTCACACTGTGGTCCAACTAGGCAAGGTATATAATTTCACATGTTCCCCATAAACACTGGGCAACTACACTGGTGCTACATGCACACAGACACACACTTTGTATGGACATTTAAGATGAGTACCTGCAAGGAGAAAAATCACATTTAAATAACCAAAATACAACAGTCAAATATTTTAAGTGGAGCCACTTTTTTGCCTTTCTTACAGAGTTTTCCTTCTTTTTAAAAGGGGTAACATCTAAGTCCAAATGCTGTCCTTTCCCAATTATAATTTAGAGTTATGCTGAAGAAGAAAGTTATAAATAAGATAGAGTTAAAATATATATTTCGGATCAAGCATTCTACTGTGACATAAAATAGCAAGCTTTAAGTTTACTAAAAAGGAATATTCCAGCAATTACCCAAAGATTCCACAGCTGTTAAACTGAAGAAACTATTTTTCTTCCTCTGAGTCTAACTCATCATCTCTCATGATTACCTCATGACTAATCATAGTTTTTATGAAAACATTAGTAGCCAAAAGAGCCACTTTGATTGACTTCATTCCTTTGGTACACTATTTACAGGCTTGTTTATTGCCACTAATAACTTTTTTTCATTTTAAATTTTGTTCTCCTGAAATCTGCCTTAACAACAACAATAAAATACAATCTAAAATATTAACAGACCATGTAGATAGAGCATCAATTTTCTTAAGCAGTTCTTTACAACATGTAATAAAAATGTACTCAGGGAAAAGGAAAGGATGCAGTTGTTGATCTGGATGACTGTTGTATCCAGGTTTAGTGGAATCTCTTGTTGTTTGAGGAAATGCTGCTTCGAAGAGCTATTACAAGAATATTTGTGCATGACTTGCAGACATTCATTATAGATAAGCATACCTAAGTTAGATGGTGATCCATGCATGCATTCACCAGATATCTGGCCAAGCTTTTATGATACATTTTGCTAATACAATCATGTATCAGACATATATACTGTGGAAAATGCATGAAGTCCAATAAGGACTTTAAAGAATAGTGTTCCTTGTTATTAGACCCAAGGCCCTTGTATCACTCAGCTATTCCCAAAATAATGCCGCATAACTAAACTAAAAATCTTGTCATTTTAGTAGTTTACAAAAAAAGCATATTTTTCTTGCTCACATTTCTATAAATTGAGCTCAACTGATGTAGACCAGGCTCAGTTGGGTTTGACTTCAAACTTTGAATAGGGTGCAGGTCTGCTAATCCCTACAAACTTTAAGCACCTGCTACTGTCAACCTGCTGACACCTCATTGGCCAATTCAAATCACATAGCCAGGACCAGCACCAGTGAGACTGGAAAGTGCACTCCTCCCATAGGAATAAAAAGAAAGAAAGAAAGAAAGAGAGAAAGAGACAGAGAGAGAGAGAAAGGAAGGAAGGAGGGAGGGAGGGAGGGAGGGAGGGAAAAGAAAGAAAAAAAAGAAAAGAAGAGAGTGAACACTTTTGGACAAAAATCCAATTTCCCAAAAACCCTTTTCTCCTTTCATATCATTCTTTCTTTCTCTAAGGGATTTCATCAAACCTAGAGGTTACCTTCCTATCTATACATGGATAATTCACCAATTTATATCTCTAGCTCAGAACTCTCATCTTAGTTCCAGCATTTTATGACCAAAGAACTACTTTGGTAACCATACTTGGATAGTTCAAAAACACTCAAACATAGTATGTCTCCGATAAAACCCATGATCACCCCTACTACCTCGGATAAACCAAAATTGATATTCTGCTAACATTCTCCATGTCTCTAAACACCCCATTATTTGTCTATGAAAACCAGAAATCTAGGAATCCATATTATTCCTTCTCCTTCAACGGCCATGTCCAATTGATCTCTAAGACTCATTTAACCTTTTACATGTATCTTGAACCTCTCATTTCTCTTCATCTTCCAGCATCCTGTTCCACCCTATCAGCAACTCACATCTGGGTCACTCTAGTATCTATTAACCAGTACTGATCCTAATTAATTTCTTTTCCGTTTAGAGTATTATTTTTGAAAAGCAAATCTAATCATACCACCTTCCTGCTTTAACGGCTTGGTGGTTTTAAAATCTCCCAAATCCTTTGCCACTACTTTTTTCAAAAGGTGGAGCCTAATTCCCCTCCCTTTGAGTGTTTGTAGGAATTATTGACTTATTTCTAACGAACAGAATGTGATGGAAGTGCTATGTGGCTTCTGAGGCTAGGTCTTTAAAAGAATAGCTTTCTCTCTCTCTTCCTCTTTTTCTCTCATCATTTGCTCTGGGGAAGGCAGCAGCCATGGTATGTAGCTCCTCAAGCATCCCAGTGGAGAGGTTGACGTGAAGAGGGGCTGAGATGTTCCACCAAGTACCGTCTGCCAGCTACGTAGGTCAGCCGTTTTGGAAGCAGACCGTCAGCCCAGTCCAGGCTCCATGTGACTGCCGAGCTTCGGCCTGCATCTTGCTGCAACCTCATGAGAGACCTGAGCCAGAACTGCCCAGCCAAGCTGCCCCCGGATCCCTGATCCACAGAAACTGTGAGGTACGAAATGTTCATTATTTTTTTAAGCCACTAAGTTTGTGACAAACTGTTACACAATAGATAACTTGTGCTAACAATATGCTCTTAGGACAAAGAACAAAATGCTTAACATGCCTATAAAGGCCTCTACTCAGCTCTCCAGCCCCATCCCATGATATCCCACCGCTCTGCCTCCCAGACATTCAGGGTTTCTTTCTGTTCTTTGAACACCCTATCTTCTTTTCTACCACAGGGCTTTTGTTCATACTTTTATTTTCTCTAGTAAAGGAATTTCTATATTCATTGAATTATAGCCTCTATTTCCATTAAATCTCAGCAAACTTGTTACTCCCCAGATATATTTTTCCAATATCACTGCCTGGTCAAATTCCCCTATTTAAACCTCTCTATATCCATCTATATCTCCCCCACCCCATGTACATATTTATCATGTGATAATTTGATACATAATTTTTCCCCGCTAGACTTCATGAGAGTTCAGTTTGCTCACCACAGTAGCCCTGGTACCTATAATATGACTGGCACAGGGGTGACAGTCAAGGAAAATGTGTTGCATGAATAGATGAATGAACATAGAACAATAGTACAAGGCAAAAATTGGCAGCTTCAGAGTGACAAGGACTGGAAGGCTGTGTGAATAAGTTGAAGACAGATTGTCTAATTTGCCTTTTATCTCCACAATTTCTGCTGCCTGGGTCTTTCCATCTCTCCTTCATATGTCACTTTCCCCACTCTCCCTGCTTCTCCTTAAAACTTTGCAAAATTCCTATCTCTATTTTCCCTGTTTATCACTCAACAAAGAGTCAAATAAAATCACTCGCACCAAGGTGCTTGTTGTTAGCTGTAAATCACCTTGTTCTGGAAGGCACTACAGGGAAGTAGAGGTAGAGGAAATGAGCGAGCAGGTGGGGCAAACCCCAAGAAAGAAGAAAGGCAGATAAGAGCTGTGTAGGAATTATTGACTTATTTCTAACGAACAGAATGTGATGGAAGTGCTATGTGGCTTCTGAGGCTAGGTCTTTAAAAGAATAGCTTTCTCTCTCTCTTCCTCTTTTTCTCTCATCATTTGCTCTGGGGAAGGCAGCAGCCATGGCATGTAGCTCCTCAAGCATCCCAGTGGAGAGGTTGACGTGAAGAGGGGCTGAGATGTTCCACCAAGTACCGTCTGCCAGCTACGTAGGTCAGCCGTTTTGGAAGCAGACCGTCAGCCCAGTCCAGGCTCCATGTGACTGCCGAGCTTCGGCCTGCATCTTGCTGCAACCTCATGAGAGACCTGAGCCAGAACTGCCCAGCCAAGCTGCCCCCGGATCCCTGATCCACAGAAACTGTGAGGTACGAAATGTTCATTATTTTTTTAAGCCACTAAGTTTGTGACAAACTGTTACACAATAGATAACTTGTGCTAACAATATGCTCTTAGGACAAAGAACAAAATGCTTAACATGCCTATAAAGGCCTCTACTCAGCTCTCCAGCCCCATCCCATGATATCCCACCGCTCTGCCTCCCAGACATTCAGGGTTTCTTTCTGTTCTTTGAACACCCTATCTTCTTTTCTACCACAGGGCTTTTGTTCATACTTTTATTTTCTCTAGTAAAGGAATTTCTATATTCATTGAATTATAGCCTCTATTTCCATTAAATCTCAGCAAACTTGTTACTCCCCAGATATATTTTTCCAATATCACTGCCTGGTCAAATTCCCCTATTTAAACCTCTCTATATCCATCTATATCTCCCCCACCCCATGTACATATTTATCATGTGATAATTTGATACATAATTTTTCCCCGCTAGACTTCATGAGAGTTCAGTTTGCTCACCACAGTAGCCCTGGTACCTATAATATGACTGGCACAGGGGTGACAGTCAAGGAAAATGTGTTGCATGAATAGATGAATGAACATAGAACAATAGTACAAGGCAAAAATTGGCAGCTTCAGAGTGACAAGGACTGGAAGGCTGTGTGAATAAGTTGAAGACAGATTGTCTAATTTGCCTTTTATCTCCACAATTTCTGCTGCCTGGGTCTTTCCATCTCTCCTTCATATGTCACTTTCCCCACTCTCCCTGCTTCTCCTTAAAACTTTGCAAAATTCCTATCTCTATTTTCCCTGTTTATCACTCAACAAAGAGTCAAATAAAATCACTCGCACCAAGGTGCTTGTTGTTAGCTGTAAATCACCTTGTTCTGGAAGGCACTACAGGGAAGTAGAGGTAGAGGAAATGAGCGAGCAGGTGGGGCAAACCCCAAGAAAGAAGAAAGGCAGATAAGAGCTGGCAACACCAGAGTAAACCCAGGGCAGGGGGAGGAGTGGGGATAAAGTAGAGGTCAGAGGTCTAGTTCAGACAGATGCCCAGCAGCACTTAGTCCAAAGGGGTTTGATCCAAGAAACAAAAAGGGGCACAGCTTCCAAACTGCAGGCGGAAATCAGAAGCGCCTTGGCAGAGCTAGATTCCATACAGAAAAGCCTCTTTGAGGTGCATTAGCTAAAGAACCGGAGGACAAGATCTAGCACTGAGGAAAGATGCCTGCAAGAATAGGCAGGAAAGAACCTCCAATAGCATGTCTCACTAGAGACAAGGCACTACGCTAAGAGCAGAAAATTGGAGCAGATGGAGAAAGTCTGATGATGGAAAAAAGGGGCTTTCCTACCTGGGGCACTGTGATCCACAGACCCACCATGCCTGGGCCTTCCTCTCCCAGTCAGAGGGCACAAAAGGCTGTTCTCAGCAACACAGGGCCAGGCGTAGCTCTGGTGGTACCATCCAGGTGAGTTCACTGGGTGCCACTGGGCAAAAATAGATGGTAAGTGTTCACTGACCATTGGTGGACTGAGGCTCACAAATACAGGCATGAGAAAAACTAAGAAGATTCAGTTGCTTTTTTTTTAACTTGAAAAGTATACTTAAATTAAATGAATAGACTCTGATAATGGACTTCTGAACAAAACATAGCCAAGAAGAATATTGCTGCATGCATTAGGAACACGTCGGCACAGAGATACTCACTATACTTGGCAAGACGCCGCCAGCCTTCCTTTCGCAGCTCTGACTGTGGTCATGTGCTGACCACTGAGTGTCCCTGACAATCTGGACTCAAGGTGACTACATTCAGAGAAAATTCTTAGACAGAGGGCAAGTAGATTTAAAGAATCACATTTTGAGACAGTCACAAAAAGAACATTGCCTGACTTTAATTTAGGGGACTATAGAGCCTCTTAATGGCTTTGGTACATTCATTTGTTTAGCAGAAATATTAATGGCATCTCAGTGACTGAAAGGAGTGGCTAAAGTACCATTCATCTAGGATTTTTAATTTTCAATCTCCATGACTGGAAGAGATCAGCAAACTGTCTCAGTTGATTGTTAGGGACTGGATTGTTGAAAGGTAAAAATGAAAAATTCTAAATTTTTAGTTGGTTTTGTAACTGTTTGTTCTGCCATGCATACAGACACAAAATAAACCTATAAAATAAAGAGAATATTACCTTGTTCAGCACATTCAGTTGCTTTACAGATTCCAGGAGAAGCCATACGCCCCCCCAACCAACCCTACCACCCCAACCTAATGGATAAATTACGCAGCTACATCCTATGACATGTTCTGTTGGAACTCAAAGGCCTTTACAAGAATTGCCCTGAGATTATCAGGCTTGCCTTCTGAATTTCCCTTTGGGGGTCTGCTAAAGTGCTGTGGGGCAGAGAGGGCACTTCCCCGGCCATAAATAAATGCTAAGTTCAACCATGCTCTCTCATTCTTCATGTTGGGAAAGTAGGAGGGCAATTCTGGTTGTCACAGTTTATGTGGCTGATGACACCCAGCCTCATCAAAAATAAAATTATTAACTCAAATTTATTTTCTACAGTTTGCTCCTGAAGTGATGCATTAAAAAAGAAAAAAACTGACTATCCATGGGAGTATGGAGACTCCTTAAGGGTGTCTTTGGCAAACTTTTGAAACAAGTCGTTGTCAAGTGCCATGAAATAACCAACAGTCACAATCTACCTGAAATCTAAAAGTTGTAACTAAATCTAAGAGTTTTCAAAATATTTTCTTTTAAGTAAATTAGATCAGATTTAGATTACCCACGCAATAATGTCACTCTCACTCTCATTTACATCTTTATATGTTTCCTTGAAAGGGGGAAAGAAATATGTAGATACAGCGACTAGGGGATAACCCTCCAATCAACAGCTACCAAATAGCCCTCTCTTATTCACCCTCTTCAAGAAATCTCCCTCTTCTGAGAAATGTGTGTTTGCACATCTTATTTGTGTATCTCTCTATTGGTGTGTTCCCTGTAATAGTGTCATCAATCTTGTATCTCATGAGAAAAAAAAACATGGTGATCTCAGACACTATGTCTGCTCTGAATATTAAAGAGTATCTGAAAAGAATGGTCTGTCTTCCGCTGAGCTCCCAGAACTAATCCTGAACTAATGCCACATTACAGCCCTTGCTTCCTGCCTGCTCGCCTGCCCATTCGAGTGGTCATTTTATTTGACTATAACAATTTGTCCATATCTGTTTCCACACACTCAGACTCCTAGCCTTAAGAATGTGGATGTATCTTTTTATCTTTGTGTCCAGGGTCCAGCACAGTGCCGGGCACTTAATAACTTAATAATGCTTGTTGGATAACTGGATAGACAGGCAGACAGATGGATGGCTTGATGGATGCTATGTAGAACAAGTACAGAGGACAATGTCTACTTAAACCACAAATGCTGCCTTCTGAACTTTGAAAGTTCTGACAATGTTTTGAGAACCAAGGTTATGTTTTGACAAAACGAAGTTAGTGTTTTGTGAAGCACAATCTTGGAGTCCAAATGACTATGTTTGACAGCATCTCTTTAAGCAAAACTGCATTTTGTTTAGACCAGGGCATCACGACTGACACATTACATTTTTTTCTTTGTTTGAAAGCCTTTTGCAGAAATGTATGACTGCACCAGCTATGGCCTCTTTCTGGTTTCTGCTTCTTTATAACCTCTGACAGGAAGGTCTTGCTTCTAGGAGTACAGTGTCTTAATGCGTTACCCAGAAGCCTGAAAATGATAAGAAGGCAATAGAATTCTAAAGAGCATCTGAATTCTGCTAAAATGATTTTGAAAAAGATGAGTTTTTTGTTTTTTTTTTTAATGTGTTTCTAAAAGGGATGAGACTGGAAACAAAGCCACAGAGACCTTGATGTGCTCCGTGGAGAGAACAGTGGATATGCTTCTTTGAAGAAGGGCTTAATTCAGAAGTTATTTTACTAAACTCAGTGCAAGCAAACCGCATGACTTTGCAAATTTGTCTATTAATTGAATCATTTGTTCCAGTTTAATGTTTCAGACTTTCTGAGACGAGTATTTCCAAGAATACCCAGGAGAATTCAAAGTGTAAAGAATCCCAGATTTCTCTCCTTCTAAACTAGAAAATTTAGAAAATAAATGACAAATTAAAACATTTGCATTTTGTGTATATGTATAAACGTGTACAAATTGATTGGTTAGTGGCAATTTCTGACTTGAGACATTTAAAAAAGAAACAAACCCAACTTTAAAGAAGATGGTGTAAATAAATGGAAGGCAGAATTTAGCTTATTGTTTGGCTTAATTTCTTTTTCCTGTGCTATCTTTATAAAGGCTGCAAGTAGCAGCTTGGAAATGCTGGAGAGATTTTATTTTTCTTTCCTTTTTTTTTTTAAGAGGATTTGGCCAGAAACTTGGTTATTTGCATATAGTAGGATCTTGACATATCCTGTGCTTTGTCTCATCCACATTGTAAAATGTGACTACGGGCCTTAGGATTTAAAACAAATCAGCAGTTACCAAACACTGCATTGAAGACGTATTCATTCCAAACTGAATTATCATCGCTGGGGACATTCTCCTCTCTAAACCTTAAGAAGCTGAAAACCGGTAATACAAACCACATGGCTGCTTCATTCCACCACGCCTCTCAGCAGAGCAAATGCTGCCTGGCAACCTATCTGTCAGCTGGGCCTGTGGTAATCAGAGCACCATTGCCCTGTAGTTACATGGAATGCTTTCTTTCTGAGAACCCATCAGAGGATGCTTTTTCTTCTTATTAGTCTTCTCAGTAATGTTTGAAAAGAGCTTCTGTGGATGCAGAGAACATGTCCTCGTAGAGAGTGTTGCTGAAATAGTTAAAAAAAAAAAAGGCAAGTAAATATTCTAGTGACTCTGCCAAGGGAAAAGCCCTCGATAACAGTCTCCGTGCTGCTTCGGACATTGGCCCCGCAAGCATGGGGAGCCAGCCTGACTCTTGCTCAGCCCTTATTTCTTCCCTAGGCCCTGAGCCTCCTTCCGTATGGAAACTAAACAGTAAGCATTCAATGTATGGAATTAAGAAATCAGGATCTGAATACTTAAACAAACATGGCCTTCTTTTATTTGACTTTGGAAACAATGACACTATCATAAATATGTATTTGGAACCAAACTGATGATGACAACATCCCTTCCCTGGTTATGACCAACATGACACACACTTGCTACGATAATTGAGTCTGTGAAAAAGTGAAACTTCCAGAAAAGATTGATCATAGGAGCAGCCATAGCCATAGGGATGGTGTCTAATGTAATGTGAAAGTCAGTAGGAAATTGGATTCACCCAGCAGAATTTTAGTTGACTCTACAGCCAAACTGCATAAACAAAGAAATTATTCAACTCTCCCTCTTCCCTGTTAATTAGACAAAATGATAACATATAAAGTGATTAGCAGAGTTCCTGCACATTATTGGCACTTAATAAATGTGAGTCTGTTCTTCTGCAGCCAGGCAAATTTCCTTTGAGATCCCTAGGTCCAGAGTGCCTTAAATGCATGTAATGTTCACCAGAGCTCTGCAGGCTTCATCCTTCCTTTAAGGACCTGCCATTGCTTTGTCTTCTAGACAGACCCCTACAGTGTCTAGGAAATAAGAATAATCCAGAAAGGAGTTGATGAATCCATCCCAGTTCCAGCTATATATCTGAGTAAGCCTTCTCACAGTAAACTCTTTCTGTGTCCTTAATCTTGGGATCCTCAAATCCAAGAACTTGTATGGACTTTACTCTAAAGTGGAGAATACCATGCCCCAGAACGAGTAAATAAATAATTCAAAGGCACATAACTAGAGGACAGCCAGGCAGTTATCTTATGACTCAGAGAATGGGGTAATTTTTGTTAGCTCACTTTCTATGGTGGTTAGAGTGCTTGGTGAACAGACAAGAAATTGTACGTGTGTCAGGGACTACAAGGATGCACACACCAGAGATTGCACCCTAATTAAAAATGTATATATATTTTATATTTCCATTGTCATAAGCAGAAAAGAATTTGGGCTTTATTTAATGTTCCTATTCCAGTCTTTCCTTTCACGGGTCCAGTTCCTGAAATCCTTAGGAATCCAACTACTGAGCAGACTTACACCCCTGGGGACACACATGCTCTGGCTTCTTCCTTGCCCTCTTCCTGTCACCTGGCCAGTACAGAGAATGAATTATGTCTCAATGCTTGTTGTAATCATTCTCTGTGTTTAAGTGTACAGATTTAACTTTCAGGGCAATTATTTGCCATTCAAATAATAAATGAAATTGCTTATATTTGCATATGTTCTAGAGTTTCCCAAGTGTTTTACACTTGCTACCTTGTTTGATTGTCACTTCTGTGAAACAGGCAGGAATAGATATCATTACTCTTATTTTAATGATTAGGAAACAGATATAGAGGTTTAAAAAAATGTCTCAAAGAAATGTATCTGAAGTAGACTGTCACCAGGTGGTAGAAGGCAAGAAGATGCTACGTTTTTTTTCTTCAGAGATTCTATGACGGACACAAGTGGGCCAAAGTCAAAGAAATTGAAAATACGTATCTCAGTATTTCAGTTATGATGCATCTTGAACAACTTTGAGATAGCATACAGTTGAATTTTTCGTAAGTACTTTTCTCAGAACTCTGTATCACCATTTAATCTAAACTTCATCTTCCCTTCACACTTGATTAGTCTGCTTTTTAAATCCATGCTGTATCCACTTCCTTAGCATCCAGATTCCACCTAGGCCTAAACCAGGTGCACCTCTCTGTCTATCTGTATGTTGTCTCTTTTCCCTTATTAGCTTTCTAGGAACAATTAAATACACAGTGTTCATTTCCTTCCCAGTCCCTGTGCATTAGCTACAGGATTCTATTGTCTTGCACACTCTTTCCACACATATATGTGTTGTCAGGTTGGCCACTGACATTTAGGGCATCCCTCTCTTTCTCTAGATGTCCCCTCTCACTACCAACCTAAGAAAGTTTTCTCCTGTTGTTGTTCTTTTCAGAATATGAGGAAAAGTTTTCCTTCCTTTTCTTAATCCCTTCTTTGATTAGCAGCTGCAAGCTAGGTAGGACAACTTTCAACTATAAAACGTCTCTGGAGCCTGTTGCTACCAGTAACACACATACAAGTTTTAAACAACTCTGTCTGATACAAACTGTTCTAGCCAGAGAGTTCCTCTGAACTGATTTCTAAAATGGGTGATATTCTTCCAGAACAAAACATTTTATGCTAGATTTTTTTTCAGTGGTGATTTAAATCATTGCATGACCCATTTATCCTTAAAAGCTCAACTTCTTTCCTGTTGTGCAGCTCAGTTAAGCAATGATTTCTAGCACAGTGATAGTGTAAGGGTCTCTTGAGATTTCCAAAAAGCTCAAAGTGCTTGCTCATTTGATATCAGAAATCCTCATAGGGTACTTTCTCAGGTGAAGGCAATAGGTAAGTGCATCTGTGTAAATTTGGGGAAGAGCCAGTGAATGGTCAAACATTTTTGGTGGTGGATTTTAACATTTTTAAGACTTTTTCACTTATTTCCCTAGAAGATTGTATACATTCCTTTCATCCATATTTCTCTTACTTAAAATGACAATTATCTAGAACTCAGTTACTTCTTCCTTTAGTTCTACAATGTCTACATAGTTAATTTTCCCAGGCTTCACCCATTGCCTGCTTTTTATCTTACTACGTCTGTCTCTCTGCACACCTAGACATGTACTATCCAGTACAGTGGCCACATCTGACCACTTCAATTTCAATTAACTCACCAAACATTTAGATCTTGAGTTCCACTGGCCACATTTTAAGTGCTTAATAGCCACATGTGGCTGATGGTTACTATACTGGGCAGTGTAGCCCTTATACATTTCCATTATTAAAGAAATTTCTACTGACTGCACTGCTGTAGATTGAATGACCCATGCAGGCAGGGACCACATCTGTCTTTCCTGTGGTAGCATAAGGCCTTCAGAGTTTCCTATATAGTAAGTGCACAATAATAATTGTTGAATAAGTAACACTTCCAGGAAGTAATCCCTTCCTGCTCCCAATATGGGAACACAGAGAATGGGACTTTAAAAAGAATCCCTCACTGAAAAAAAAAAAAGAAAAGAAGTAATGACAGATGATGAATGCAGTCAGGGAACATCACTCGAAGACAAACACAAGTGCATGCCTATTCAGTAACTGCAAAAAGATTAGTATTTCACAATGAGTTAAATATCCATTCAGCAGTGAGCTTTAAAATTTTTTCAAATCTGGCAACTTTGTCAAAACTAGCAATTCAAGTCATTGATCTAACCAGCTCCTAGAAAGTGCTGGACCAAAAAAAAAAAAAAACTATCACTGGGGCTAAAGCGTTCTCTAGTCGGTTCTTCATTAAGTCAACATTTGTTTGAGTTCAATATGCAAAGGATGAAAAACAAGAGAGTGGGGAAAATATCCCTTAGGAACCCACCACACAAAACCTTCCTTGTATAAAGGCCGTTTCTAATGAGAAAATACATTTGGCTTCAGGAGTTTACTTATAAGTTTTTTGTTTAGATCATCTTTCCCATTGAAACAGTGTCCCATTATGTCAAGCTCCAAGAGTGGCCTTCCAAAACCAATGTCATCCATCCCGCAGGTGTGGTGGACTCTTAAGACTGCTTAAGACTGTGTGTACCACTGACTTTATGGAAAATACATTCAAAGTTCTACTTCAGAGGGCCTGAGTGGATGCCTTACCTATCTAACCATCCCCGCCTGCCTTAACTGAATTCCTGATAGGGTCGTTCTGGCCTTAGGCCGAGTGGTCAAGAGGCCCAGAATAGTAGGAAAAAAGAAGGGGAGAAGCAGGGACCCAGAGTGATAAGGTGTCAGGAGTTCTAGAGTAAGGAGCAGGATGAACAGGGTGCATGAAGCACACATAGGACACCTGGGAGATGCTGAAATAGAGGTACAGTGGTGAGGAGAAAAGCAGTAATGGAGGAATAAAAAGGGAACATACTTTCTGCATTTAAAACCACCTGTCAAGCTGCAATGATGTCCTCTTCTTCACAACCGCCCAGTACTGTGACAAAACCCTTACAATGCTTTCCAGTTATCTTAAGATAAAGACAACAATCCTAATTTGACCTCGAGACCCATTTGTCTGTCTCTTTTCCCACCTCAACGATCTCCAGGCTGTCCATGAACTCAAGTCCCCAGACACACCCTATCACTCCCATGTGCATCCCACCTCAGATCTTCAAATACTACTTACTTACCCCAGAAGTTTCTTTATTTCCTTCTGGGATGAATAAACTTCTATTCAACCTTCACATTTCAGCTCTTACCAATTCCTCAAGCAAGTCTTCCTTGAATTCCTGAATCAGGTCGATTTCTCCTATTTCCTGTATGTGTAGCATCATGTACTTTTCCCTCATTGCACTTATCAGAGCTGTAATTTCATGTCTATTCAAGTAATTGCTTGATTAAAGGCTATTTTTTCCATCTCCAGTGTAGACTGTAAGCTCCAGGAGGCCTATTTCCATGGACTGTTTCTACTCACCACTGCGCATGGCGCGCAACAGGTATCACCAAATAACGTGTTGAATGAATGCATGGATAGATGAATGACTGATATGTAATAAGGAGAGATGGTTCTCAGGCTTTACATGAGGGACTAGAGGGGTTAGCCCTCCCTGATTACAGAGAAAAAGGCAAAGGGGGAGATGTTTGTGTGTATACCCAGCTGTTCATAAATAAGGGTGACCACAAGTGAGAAATTGCCTGTATTCATTTGAAAGTTAAAATGTTTATACAATTCAGTATGTTTTTCCATTCTTTCTCTCAAGCCATCCTCCTTCCCTCTCATATGTGATTTATTCTAAGAGGCTGGACTGAATTTTTTAGTGTAATTGAGAAGACAGGAGGTTCTGTCCTCCAACAGAGCACAAACTGCCTCTCCTTAAAAGAGAAAAATACTTTAGAAAGCTAAACTGTTCACGGAACACTCGGTTTAGAATGTCAGGGGAAAAAAAATAATCAAATCAGAAAGTAGCTTTTTGTCTTACATTTTTGGTTACAATTAAATAACAGCAGATAGAGAAAATAAATGTGCCTAATTGTAAAGCTTGTAGGACCTTGAGGGATTTCATGACAGGGAGCACTTGTCTTCTTAAAGGGGATTTACTCTAACAGCGTTAGCCTCCTAAGAATCCAGTAGTATTTATGCTTTGTGCTTCTGACCCAAACAGGTTAAAAATGGAATGTGACAACTTTTTCAATGCTCATTTTGTTATGCCCCGCTAAAGTCAAAGAGCATTGCTTGCAAAGGCAGATAGATATGTCATCATTTTGCACTTGTCCTGATCCCAGCATCTAAAAATACAAAATGCTGGAATTTTTAGAGCAGATGACCTTAAAAAAAAAAAAACTTAAAGACAACTGATTGTAATTGTTTAAGGTCTAAATGTTGACCATAGAAGAAGACAGAAATAGGAAGGTGTCCCTCCAAGTGACCTCACCTTCATAAAACTGGACAAATAATTCATTTGAAAGACTCTTTGTCTCTGTGCTTTTGAAGAGGAGCGTTTCATTTTCAGCAAAATAGATAATAGTGTCATGTTGACTACCTTCTATCTACAAATGAGGTTAATTTTAGTCTGATTCTCATTTTGAGCACACAGAGGAATTTATAGTACTCATCAAACTTTGCTAGAAACCTAGGACAACCTTCAAGTCTTGAAGAAAGTATCTCCTGTTTGAAGAGATTTTCCCACCATGTGTTAAAGCCAGCAAGGGTGTTTGTGGATTTAGAAAATGTTGCACCTATTCTTGTATGTACTATTGCTGCTACCTCGGGCATGCCTTTCAGTTTAACTTTTCTCTTTGATATGTCCTCTGCTTCTTAGTTTAAGTACACAACACTTCCTTTGGGTTCTAGTGTGAAGGAAATTGATCACTCTTCAACTGCATGTTTCTAATTGACTTCCTCCTTCCTGGCTAGGAAATTAACTTTCAGTCCTCTTATTTGATCTGTTAAGCAGGGTATGTGACACCCTCCCAGACAACAAGATTTAATGAATCCTGGCCTCCACGTGTTCCCACATAACTTTTAAAGATACAACAATCAGATTTACAATTGAATTCTAACTGTAAAGCATACTGACTGATATCGTTGTCCATACATCCAGCTATTGTCTCCTCTCTCTCTGCCAGTAGCAAGGCACTCTTTAAAAATCAATTACCTTCTCCCTGAGCAGTTGCACTTGCTAGAAGTGGGTATTTGATGCCTGAACTCTTAAAGTATTTATTTTCGGTCTCATATCAGTTGTTTTTATTCCTATTAAAATTGAAATGTAATGTTTGAACTGAGAAAGATCAATAACATCTGAGAACAACTATGTCCGAATATTTCACAGTCCATTGCAAGAGGTTGTTATTGTTCATGCTGAGTGTTTGCCAAACTGCCACCTGGGCAACCAGGTCAGTGACCAGGCAGGTGATAATGTTCTCACAGTCCCACAAAAAACACACCCAGCACTCAGATTGCCACACTGCAATTCCTTGACTTCAAGTGCTTTATAGATTTTCCTGTTGCTCATGTGATTATAGTCCACTGCTGAGAAAAACAAGTTCTAGAATCCCAGCTCTCAGCCAACTGAAATAGGGTCTATTTCTCAGAAGAAAACCTTCCTCCAAATCCCAGAATGTAGTATAGTTATGACCTCCAGGGAATTCCAGTCTACAACTACCTGTCTTCCTAAGAAGAAAACTTCCTAGATTTTCTCTGGACAGACTCTTCAGCATGGGGAAATTCTGTGACTCAGATATCCTAGATTCATCCACAGTGTTCTCTCAGTCAGTCTCAGAAATACATTTAGTGACACCACACACACACACACATACTCTGTGGGGACATCTACTCATAGATTTTTCATGGAAATGAAATATTTCTTAGTAACTGATTTTCCTGGAATAAACTGATTAGCAACCTCTTCCTCAAATGTTGTTTCCTACATTTACTTTTCTTTTTCTTGCCAGAGCTCTGTCCTATCATCCATTTTGAAGACACAAAGACTTTTATTTTTTTTCCCCTACCTTCTTTTACCATAATCTCATTTTTGTTTTCATCTTCCACATCGTGCATTCAGTTTGGTTTTTAAATAGATCTTTTAATACTTTGGAAGTAAAAGGTCAGTAGGGGCACAGGAAGAGGGGAAATGGACTTTGTCATGTTTGTAAAAAGAAAATATGAAGCCAACTGAAAAATCACAAGATCTGACCCTTTAGTCCATCTGTAATTTTTCCCTGACCAAGTGTAATACTTCAAGCTTTCTTCCTCCCTAGTTCTCACTGAACTGACACACTGCAGGTGCCACAGTTTAGATGTAACAATGAGAAAAGTCCATTTCTTTTCTAGTTCCGCAGCAAAGGCATCACAAAAGATAGAGTTATCATGAGCTAATTACAGTCCTTGAAAATTACCTTTGTGCTTTGCAAATATGCGTTTTTTTCCTTCGCTGATGATGAAGTTGGCAGTTTAAATAAAAAATACTATTTAAAGTAACAGAGTACAGTTATATAACCTTTTCACATAAATCACACAATAACTCTTTGTGCTTTGTACAAAAAAAAAAGAACTGCACTGCTTGTTAAGAAGATTTATTTATATAATAATCTATGCAAAGGATTTTTTTTTCTTTTATAAAAGTGGGATGTTCTTTTTTTTAACCTCTGGAAGTTGCAGACTGGAGGGCAGGAATATCCTCCAATCACTTTTACTTATACACATTCCAGCTACTAAAGACTCCTAATTCAGTGTTTGGCATCACCACACAAGTCTTTGTATCTGAGCACACACAAAATGTAAGGAATATTCTGCTACAAAATAAATAAAAACCTGGAATCAAAATTCAAACCAGAATAAAGATTCCAGAGCATTTTTCTCAATTTTTCAGGAATACTATTTCTTCGAACATATTTGTTTAGTGAGGGGGCAGTGGAATCCATATGACCATTGAAACCCTATGGAATTGTTCTGTCAGGTCCTTATTCCCCAACTCAGCTTCCTACCCATCCCTCATTTGCTCCCCTTAAGCTTATTTCCTGATTTAAACCTAGAAGCAGTGGTCTTTTATAATTTACAATATGTCCCTACCATTTAAAAATGTCTCTCATATAAAATGTCCTGACATCGAATTGATCTTCTCACTGACCAGTCCACCCAGCAAATCCAGGGCCATACACAAGTTGCTAAATGCTAAACTTGGCTCAGATTGACCCACTTAATCCTCATTCCAGAGGATCACTCCAGGAAGAGTTATCCTTTCATGGGGCTAAACCTAATAGAGACATTTAATTGGTCAAATATATGAATACTAACTCCTGCTGAACAGCAGAGGTTCTGAAGACAGGGAAACCTGCAAAGGCTTTCTTGTGTGTACCTATCCTGCACTGAGATTCTGACCTAACTTTAAAAAGCTATCTCCATGGAAAATTCCGGGCTCCACTCCAAAACCAACCAGTATGAGGTGGCTCTCTTAATCAGTGGCTGTGTTTTGTTGCAAGGCACTCTTTAAAAATCAATTACCTTCTCCCTGAGCAGTTGCACTTGCTAGAAGTGGGTATTTGATGCCTGAACTCTTAAAGTATTTATTTTCGGTCTCATATCAGTTGTTTTTATTCCTATTAAAATTGAAATGTAATGTTTGAACTGAGAAAGATCAATAACATCTGAGAACAACTATGTCCGAATATTTCACAGTCCATTGCAAGAGGTTGTTATTGTTCATGCTGAGTGTTTGCCAAACTGCCACCTGGGCAACCAGGTCAGTGACCAGGCAGGTGATAATGTTCTCACAGTCCCACAAAAAACACACCCAGCACTCAGATTGCCACACTGCAATTCCTTGACTTCAAGTGCTTTATAGATTTTCCTGTTGCTCATGTGATTATAGTCCACTGCTGAGAAAAACAAGTTCTAGAATCCCAGCTCTCAGCCAACTGAAATAGGGTCTATTTCTCAGAAGAAAACCTTCCTCCAAATCCCAGAATGTAGTATAGTTATGACCTCCAGGGAATTCCAGTCTACAACTACCTGTCTTCCTAAGAAGAAAACTTCCTAGATTTTCTCTGGACAGACTCTTCAGCATGGGGAAATTCTGTGACTCAGATATCCTAGATTCATCCACAGTGTTCTCTCAGTCAGTCTCAGAAATACATTTAGTGACACCACACACACACACACATACTCTGTGGGGACATCTACTCATAGATTTTTCATGGAAATGAAATATTTCTTAGTAACTGATTTTCCTGGAATAAACTGATTAGCAACCTCTTCCTCAAATGTTGTTTCCTACATTTACTTTTCTTTTTCTTGCCAGAGCTCTGTCCTATCATCCATTTTGAAGACACAAAGACTTTTATTTTTTTTCCCCTACCTTCTTTTACCATAATCTCATTTTTGTTTTCATCTTCCACATCGTGCATTCAGTTTGGTTTTTAAATAGATCTTTTAATACTTTGGAAGTAAAAGGTCAGTAGGGGCACAGGAAGAGGGGAAATGGACTGTGTCATGTTTGTAAAAGGAAAATATGAAGCCAACTGAAAAATCACAAGATCTGACCCTTTAGTCCATCTGTAATTTTTCCCTGACCAAGTGTAATACTTCAAGCTTTCTTCCTCCCTAGTTCTCACTGAACTGACACACTGCAGGTGCCACAGTTTAGATGTAACAATGAGAAAAGTCCATTTCTTTTCTAGTTCCGCAGCAAAGGCATCACAAAAGATAGAGTTATCATGAGCTAATTACAGTCCTTGAAAATTACCTTTGTGCTTTGCAAATATGCGTTTTTTTCCTTCGCTGATGATGAAGTTGGCAGTTTAAATAAAAAATACTATTTAAAGTAACAGAGTACAGTTATATAACCTTTTCACATAAATCACACAATAACTCTTTGTGCTTTGTACAAAAAAAAAAAGAACTGCACTGCTTGTTAAGAAGATTTATTTATATAATAATCTATGCAAAGGATTTTTTTTTCTTTTATAAAAGTGGGATGTTCTTTTTTTTAACCTCTGGAAGTTGCAGACTGGAGGGCAGGAATATCCTCCAATCACTTTTACTTATACACATTCCAGCTACTAAAGACTCCTAATTCAGTGTTTGGCATCACCACACAAGTCTTTGTATCTGAGCACACACAAAATGTAAGGAATATTCTGCTACAAAATAAATAAAAACCTGGAATCAAAATTCAAACCAGAATAAAGATTCCAGAGCATTTTTCTCAATTTTTCAGGAATACTATTTCTTCGAACATATTTGTTTAGTGAGGGGGCAGTGGAATCCATATGACCATTGAAACCCTATGGAATTGTTCTGTCAGGTCCTTATTCCCCAACTCAGCTTCCTACCCATCCCTCATTTGCTCCCCTTAACCTTATTTCCTGATTTAAACCTAGAAGCAGTGGTCTTTTATAATTTACAATATGTCCCTACCATTTAAAAATGTCTCTCATATAAAATGTCCTGACATCGAATTGATCTTCTCACTGACCAATCCACCCAGCAAATCCAGGGCCATACACAAGTTGCTAAATGCTAAACTTGGCTCAGATTGACCCACTTAATCCTCATTCCAGAGGATCACTCCAGGAAGAGTTATCCTTTCATGGGGCTAAACCTAATAGAGACATTTAATTGGTCAAATATATGAATACTAACTCCTGCTGAACAGCAGAGGTTCTGAAGACAGGGAAACCTGCAAAGGCTTTCTTGTGTGTACCTATCCTGCACTGAGATTCTGACCTAACTTTAAAAAGCTATCTCCATGGAAAATTCCGGGCTCCACTCCAAAACCAACCAGTAGGAGGTGGCTCTCTTAATCAGTGGCTGTGTTTTGTCTTTATATAAACAGGTTAAGCCAGCTGCCAGAGCTTCTGCGACCAACTCCGGCTCACATTACCCTCGCGTGGAAAGATGGGCCTGGCCCAAGCTGCATTATGAAAGCAGAGAACTATCTCTCTCCCAGATTATGGCAAAAGAACTGGTTGCCATACATATGGTGACCAGAGTTTTCAGCAATCTTACTTTCGCTCCTCAAGAAAATGAACAAAACATGGCACACAGACATGGCCAGAATGGGTAAGATTTTAACAACCTGCCAGTTGGAGGTAATGGCTCAAAAAAAAAAAGAGGAAATTTGACCATTCTGAGTGATAAATAATTGTCAAGCTACTCATTTCCTAACAAAGTGGAAAAATAATAAAAATAGAGATAAATCTTTGGTGCTACACGGGATAAAATGATTGTTAGGGTAGGATTTGTTTAACTGGAGAGACATCCTCCCCCCAGCTAACCCACGGAGGGTTGTCATTGGTCACAATAGAACTCAGAGCATCAGTTTATGGAATCAGTGGGGGTAACCAATACTGAAAAGGCACTACTGATGAAATCTGTTACTTTCTTCACTTGTCCACTCTTCTCCTTTGACCTTGAGGATGCTCCTCAAAATGATGTTACCCCAAAGTAGCAACAATCTTTTTGAAATAAAACCTAAATAACTGGAGTAATAAAACAGGCTTCTGAACTATACTTACGGATGCTGGCCAAAAATAATCAAGGCTGGAAAGGTGAACTATTATGTCCATTTACCTAAAAAAATTTGAAACTTAATAATGGTTGAATCATTATACCAGAACCATCAAAAAAAAATAAAGCAATCAAGTAACCTTCCCATGCAGTGTGTTCTAATAATGTATTGGTGAAGAATATTTTGCTTACATTAATCATTATAATGGCAATGATTAGAAATTCTGGATCTTGCTCCTGAAAGAAGTGCTTTCCCAAAGAAAGCATTTGGCCGTGCTATCAAGTTGATTTAAAATCACTGAATTAAGGCCACTGTTTTATAGGTCAAGCCATATTTGAATGGCTTAGAATAACTTTCTTCTCTTTTGCTACCATAATTGAATGCAAAGTGGGTAAGGCCCTTATGCTGATCTTATTTTCAAACACATGCAATAGCTACTGCGATTGCAGTAGGATCCCTCTGTTTTTTATTTTGACAGCATAACACGACACCCTTGAGAGCTGAGCTTTTCAGGTGTTAAAGAGGATTTGTTATAAGAAAATGATCATAATAGGATTTAATGTGATTGAAAGTCAAGGTACAGTAGCCATACAGTGTATCAGAGAGAGTGTCAAAACTTGCAGTGAGGGTGGAGTGCCTTTTGCTAAGTAAACAATAAAAACAGAGACAGAAGAAAATATTTTATGCACAACAGGATCTACGAGGTTGGCCAACCTGATAAGCCTGCCCCAACACAGTGGGTATCTAACCCTACAGTACGTCCTTGGCAAGAGGGGCAATTAGCTGCAACATTCCCACCGGACAAGAGTGTTTTGTAAACAAGTTATATAATAACCTGAATTCTTGTCTAGAACTTGACAGGCAATAACCCCACAGGTTCTCTGAACCTCCCAGAGGGAAAGGCCCATCCCTGAGTCACTGCCCTGGCCCTTCCAGTCCCAGCACCCAGCGTCACTCTGACTCTTTTCACATCTTCACTGAATCTGCTGATGTGGGTGGCCATGAGCACTGCACACACATGCACACCAAGCAGGAACTGACTGACTCCCTGAGTGTTTCTCCGTTTTAGTTGACAATGCCATGCTCTCAAATGACAACCGTCCTCCAAATCCCAGGCATTAGTCTAGCAATAGGTTTATCAAACCCTAGAACATTTTTCTGTGTAAACAGGCCTATGAAGAATTCAGGCATCTTAACTGCTTTAGGCATCATAAGATAATCATAAGCTCTCAAGATCAGAAACTGGTGGCAGCAAGCAGAGGTGGGAGAGTAACAGTTGAAAGGTAGTTCTCCTCTACCATTACAGGGCTTTCTCACCCTAAATTTGTTTTCCTGTCATTGCAGGATGCCATTAGGCCATCTTGACCATAACTACTATTAGTTACTGTATTTTGGGTAGTTTTGCATGGCTACCTATGACTCTGGATGGGCAGAAGCAGGACCTGAAATGTAAAGCCTATTCATCTGAAACAAACAGCTAGAGAACATTCTTTCCAATCATTACTGCTAGTTCTGTACATCCCATTAACAGCCCTTGGAGAAGAGTGACATGAGTGCAGGCAAGACCAGGAACTTAGTATCATTGCTATTAGCATAATATTATGTATGTGTATTCTATATTTCTCAAGCATGAAAGTGATTTATGAAATGACACATGACAGCAAATGACAAGCGTGGACTTGTGAGTCAAGTCTTTCGAGGTGCTTTTTCTCACATTTGAGTGCATTGCTACCTGCATTCGCAAGATCTGTTAAAAATACAAACATCACTATATTATTTTTTAACTATGAAGTTTTTTTCTTCTAATTTTTGATGCCTCCAAATCATGAACAGTCATTTCAGACGATTCAGATCACACTTGAGAATTTTCCTCTCCTCCTTTCTACCAGGTCCTTTGTATTTGAAAAGATTTAGACACCAACATGTATTGTCTTTTCCCCTCAATACTTATATGCCAGCCAGTTCTCTAGACACAACTATATAAAGGACAATAGTGAAAAATCATCTAAAATGTGAATAAATGCAAACATCCTTAGCCAGCCAGCACTTGACAGCGTGTGTGTGTATATATATATATATAGGAATTTTCTCTCCTCCTTTCTACCAGGTCCTTTGTATTTGAAAAGATTTTGGCACCAACATATATATGTTATATTTGGCATTTTGAAATTTTTTTATACTTACATCTGAATATATGGTTTTGGTGATTTAAGAATTAATAATATTTTATCCTAAATCAAGATGTCATTCTAAGAACACTGAATTCAAAGAAACTAGAAAGCTGATCTTACCATCCAGACTGAAGATAGAACACCTCATTAATGCAGAGTCGTTACCTTTATGAAGCAGGTAATCAACTAATTACATGTTTTGATTAAAATGTCCCTCTTTTTTAGAATTTTCAGTTTAGAGTAAGCTGTGTAGCAACAATCTCAGTCAGTACTAAATGTTAAGGTATGCCACTGGCAAAACCAACATAGAAATTCAAATATTTACTGTACTTTCTCTGGAGACTTTCCTGTTGTTTGCTTCATCTTCCCATTTGAACACATTTCTTTCATTCCAAACCTGCTTCCCATGCCCCACGTAGGATTATTCTGCATTGAACACAAACTAGACACAAAATTCTAAAGGCAGAAATGATTCTTCCACTTCAGAATCCTTAATGAGGAAGTTGTGTCATAAACCACTTGTTCCTTTGATCCCAGTTCTACCTGTGTTTTTCATGCTCCATGAAATTGAACATCAGTTAACTTGCTTTGTTCCTTTTGCACATTCTCATTGCTAAGAATTCTTACCTGCCAGTTCTTCAGCAGGGGCAAACCACCAATCCACAGCTGCCAAATATCCTCCTCCTTTTCCTTCACCCTCCCCAGGAAAGCTCCTTCTTCTGAGAAATGTCTGTGGTCAAATCCAAACTCAACTTGAGTTTGTTCATTGTTTTACATTTTAAGATGATCCCTATCTGGAATTATAATGTGGGTTTAGTCTCCAAATTTAAAAATAAGCTTGCTAGTGATGTTGTGTGAAGCTCTCCTGTCATAATTTCAGAAATATTCAAGATCTCCTCCTTTTGATCACAAGTAGACTTGCTATCTTCCACCCCTTGTGAATTCAGACATAACCATGTGACTTGTATTAGTCAATGAGATGATTAAGAGACAACGTGTAGTTTGCCATAGTCTTTCTCTCTTTCCTGGTGATATTGGGGGCATCAGTCTAAACAGCTCTCAGCAACCTGGAGGCTTTGATGCTTAAGCAGACTCCCCGCCAACTTGCATGGACTTGTAGCACAAGTGAATCTTTTTGGTTGTTTATTGCCACAGCATAACCCAGATCAACCCGACTAACTTAGAGAGAGTAATTAGTCCATTTGCTTAATGTACTGTGGGGCCCATCTTCATCTTCACAGCACTGCTGCTGCATTCCAAAGCTTTCAAGCATGTTTTATCATTTATTTTCAAGTATTTTTTTAGGTTACCATTTTCAAGTTTCAGATAGAAAGCCTAACACATAAAGAAAGAAAATGAGTCCATCATTTCTAAAGGCAGAATTAGAATAGATCTGATGTCTGCCCAATGTTCTCTCCTCTGAACAAGAAATTACAAAGAAATCTAGGTTATGGTTCTGTTACAGGGCTAGTCATAGAGTCATAGAACACTAAAGCTGGAAGACTTCAGAGCTCACCTGATCAAGGCACCTTGTTTTAAGAGGAAGATCCTGAGGCCCAGTGGGTTAACTGAGTGTCTTGGCCAAGACCACATGGCATCTAGTTAGAGACTGGGGAGTACAAAACTCAGGTCCCTTATGCCAGTGTTTTCCTTTGATAAAATATATGCCCTGAATGAAAGGAAGCTTCTTGAGGATTTTCATATGCAAGCATATTCTTAGATACCATATTGAGAAAATTAATCCATAGTCTTTGAATATATCTTTCTGAGTTATTATTATAAAAAAGTTTTGCCTGCAAAACAAGTTCACTACATACAGAAAAATGAAAGTGGAACCCTATCTTACACAACTCACAAAAATTAACTCAAATTGGATTAAATTCTTAAATGGAAGACCTGAAACTATAAAACTCCTGGAAGAAAATGTAGGGAAAAATCTCTGTGACATAAGTCTTGGCAAGGATTTTTTTGATATGATACCAAAAGCATAAGCAACAGAGGTTAAACAAGTGGGACTACATCAAACTGAAAACCTTCTGTACAGCAAAAGAAATCATCAACAAAATGAACAGGCAACTGCAGAATGGGAGAAAATATTTGCAAATCATATATCCAATAAGGGGTCAAAATACATAAAGAACTCGTACAACTAAGTAGCAAAATCAAGCAATCCAGTTTAAAAACAGGCAGAAGAACTGAGCAGACATTTTTCTGAAGTACACATACAATGTCCAACAGGTACATGAAAAGATGTTCAACATCAGGAAATGCAAATCAAAACTTCAATAAGTTACCACCTTACACCTGTCAGAATGGTTATCATCAAAATAACAACTGTTGGCACACATATGGAAAAAAGGGAACCGTGTGCACAGTTTGTGGAAATGTAAACTGGTACAGCCTATGAAAAACAGTATGAAATATCCTCAAAAAATTAAAGGTAGAACTTCCATGTGATCCAGCAATCCCACTTCTGTGTATATAGCCAAAGGAAATGAAAACAGGATATCAAAGAGATACACTCTCACATTTATTGCAGCACTATTCACAATAGCCAAGATATGGAAACAACCTAACTGTCTGTTAGTGGATAAATGGATGAAGAAGTGGTATATATATACCACTTATATATACCATATATATTATTCAGCCATGAAAACAAATGAAATACTGCCATAGATCGACTTTGTGGACATTATGCCAAGTGAAATAAGCCAAAGAAAGACAAATGGTGCATGGTATCACTGATCTATGGAATCTGAAAGAGCCAAACTTGTATAAACAGAGAGTAGATGG